GATGAGGGGGCTGGGGGCTAAAACATAGGAAGAACAGTTGCAGGAATTGGGTATGTCTAGTCTAAGAGAAAGAGAAGGATTACGGGGGACATAATAGCAGTCTACCAATATTTGAGGGGTGCCACAGAGAAGAGGGAGTCAACCTGTTCTCCAAAGCACCTGAAGGCAGGACAAGAAGCTATGGATGGAAACTAACCAAGGAGAGAAGCAACCTAGAACCAAGGAGAAACTTCCTAATAGAGAGCAATCAGCCAGTGGAACAATGTGCCTCCAGAAGTTGTGAGTACTCCATCACTGGAGGTTTTTAAGAAGAGATTGGACAGCCATTTGTCTGAAATGGCATAGGGTCTCCTGCTTGAGCAAGGGGTTCGGCTAGAAGACCCCCAACTCTGTTATTCAGAAGTTTCTAGGCAAATGAATTTTATGGAACACCATTAAGATCTGTCAGAATCTGAGTTGGTCTAGTGATTCTGGGGCCACAAGTTTAGTTCTCCTTTATGTATGAAGCCAGGCAGGGTACTTTGGGCCAGCCCTCACTCTTTCAAACCTAGAATGAAGGTGTCAAAGTCAATCACATTTGAAAACATCGCCAAATAAATTCCACGGAGTTGTCCCTGCAGTCACAGAGATGGACTATAACCATAACATCTGGACAAAGAGGAAGATTGATAGAAGTTAGATAGTTATAAAGTTGTGCGCAGGATCAGGTCATTAAGACATTGGTGATTAGTAAGAAGGCCTTATTTGTTGTTGTTGATGATGATGTTACCAAGCTCAGAGAGCACCAAGGTCTCCACAGTCCTCCTCCCTTTCCTCTTCCTTCTTTTCCCTTTCTCCTTCTCTACACACCCTACTCCCTTCTAGCCCTGAAGATGTTATCTAGTTGGGTCATGAAACATCTACAAGAAGACCACTAAACTCAGAGAGCACCAAGGACCCCATAAGGTTATCTTTCCGTCTCACAGATGGAACTACTCAAAATTTGGTGGCATCGGAGGTCACCCCTGGCCTCCAGAACCCTACTTTGAGGTTCTTCCTCCCACCCAATGACCCTTCCAAGCTCAACCGAAGTGGCCCAATAGATACCTGGATGGTCAAAGTTATATTGTCCCTTTAAAGCTCTGGCTTTCTGTTCTGGGGTGAGGACCTTGTAGAATCGATCTTGGCTGAGAATGACGACTTTGCGTTGACGATGATCCACCTCATTTTGACCCAGCAGTTCCATGATCTTCTCACAGACTGTTGACTTTGGAGGAAGGGACGGACAGAACGGGCAAACCCACCAAGGAGGAAAGTTAGCAAAGCCAGAAGTACAGGTAATAATAATAATAATAATTTTTATTTTATAGTCACATACCAAAATGCAAGTGCAACAAAAGACAACACAAGAAAAATACAGTCACAAATAGTACAGGTACAGGTTCAAACTCCACTTCACCTCCCAATGACCCACACCTGATGTAACTAAGGACCCATCTCCTCCTCTCCACAACCTCCACTCCCTACTAGCACTGATGATGTTCCCTAGTTGGGTCATGAAACATCTGCAAGAAAACAATCCCACTCTTGAGCTATTATATATAAACAGGGAGCAAGCCACACTCACAAGGACTGATGATGTTCCCTAGTTGGGCCATGAAACGTCTGCAAGAAAACCACCCAGCTCAGAGAGCATCAAGGACCCCACAGTCATTGTTCTCCTCCTCCTCCTCCTCCCACAAACCCCTCCCTTCTAGCACTTATAGTGTTCCCTAGTTGGGCCATGAAACATCTGCAAGAAAACTAGCCAGATCAGAGAGCACCAAGGACCCCTCAGTTCAACCCTGAGCTACAGAGATTCTCTTTTATTGATATACATTCATTCATTCATTCAATATTAGCAGCCAAGACCAAAGAAAGCCAGCCTTATTCATTTGTCAGTAACCATAAATGTCCCACCTATTAACAGGAACTAAATGGAAATCACACCTGGTACTATACATAATTACAAACTGATGTTATACGTGATGCTAGAGATCACATATCATATATAGGATAACATAAGCTGGCAGCTGTGGTTGCCCTTGACATCCACACGTGTCAAACCCACCCAAGCCTGTTTTTGGAAAAAGACGTCAGTGCTGCTTACAGCTTGCAACACAAACAACAACCCTCCCCAGGCTCCCACCCAACCTGAAGCAACAGGGCTTCCATCCTGGATTTTAAACCTTCTCTCCTCCCCCCCCCTTCCTGCTTTTCCTACGCAGGGGTCTTCCAACTTGGTCCTTTGATGACTGGTGGACTTCAACTCCCAGAATTCCTCATTGAGGCGTGCCTGGCTGAGGAATTCTGGGAGTTGAAATCCACCAGTCATCAAAGGACCAAGTTGGAAGACACCCCCCCCCCCGGCCCACAGGGATATTGGAAGAGATGCATCTTGCTCATCACCCTTTTGGCTTTTCTGCCCTATTATTGCGAATGCATCGAGCATCATCATGCAATTCCCCCTTTTGTCTCGCCAGCGTTTATTTCGGGTCTCCCCCCCCCACCCCACTTTAAAGCAAAAAAAAAAAAAGCACCTTTTGTTTGCACTTTTGCAAGCAGCAGACGAAGCTGCGATTCCTTCCTCTCCTCCGCCGCCCGGGGCAACGCACTTGCACGGCCCGCTTTTTTGCAAGAGTTTATTATCATTATTATTATTATTTTGCAACATGGGAGAAGGGCAGAAGTGCAACTTTACCTTGCCGCTGGCGGTGCCCCCGCTCACCCCGATCAGGAAAGGCCGCGGGTGAGGCCGCTCCGCTTCTCCGGCCGGGCTGGAACTGGAAGCGAGGCCGCCCGCGGTGGCCATGAGTCCGGCAGGGCCGAAAAACGCCGAACGCGGGGGAGAAAACTACGCCTCCCAGCAGGCCCCGCGCGAGGAAAAACAGCCCCGCGCTGGAGCGGCTGGAGCGCGAGGTACGCCGGGAAACGGAGTCCTTCCGGGTCTGGGACGAAAGCCGCGCTCCCCAGCGCCCACGTGACCGGCTGTCATTGGGTAGGAGGAAGAGGCGGGGCTTGGCTGCAAAGGGGCGGAGCTTCAGCAGAACATGTATCCCCGTTTCCTTTGATCTTTGCAACATAGTATCCGGCTTAGCTTGCAAGATAGATAATTCGGTTTATTTATTTTATTATTATTATTTAAAATTTGAAAAATCTGGATTTCAGTAATTCAGCCAGGTTTCGTTTCCGGGAAATTGATCCCCACCAGCTGGATCTGTAGCCGGCTGACAAACAGTCCTCCATGAGTAGTCCTCACTGGTAGTAAGGTGGAATAAAGTAGAATAAAGTGGAATAATAATAATAATAATGATGATAGTGAAAAATCACCAGAAGAAAATGATGTGTCTGTCTAATTACTGGAATAAAGCTGTGTTAGCAAATCTGTGACTAACCAAATGCCCATTGCGTTTAGAAACGTTGCATGAAGCAAAAACGCTCTTCATTGTATGCCTGGGAGAAACTAACCGAAGGAAATACAGTGTAGGTTTCTATGTGTGCCCCTTTGTTCCTGAGAAATGGAAAGTATGAAACTGTAGTTTGAACCCACCCTCTTTGTTCAGAGTTGCTTGTTGTTACTGCTTCTGAACCTTGCGCAAATAAATCTCTCTGCTAAAACCCTCTGGAATCCGTAAAAGTCTCCTGCGTTTTCTACAAGAGTAGCACATCCCCATGGACGGAAGTAAACAGTGGGGTGCCCCAGGCTCCGTCTTAGGCCCAGTGAACTCTTCAGCATCTTCATCAGTGACTTAGATGGGGGAATTGAAAGGGAAGTCTGCAGATGACAGCAAACTGACAGGTGTAGCCAGCCACCCCGGAAGACAAACTCAAGATCCAAAAAGATCTCGAGCAACTATTCTATTATGTTCTATTCTATTCTATTCTATTCTATTCTATTCTATTCTATTCTATTCTCTATGTTCTATTCCTATTCCTAGTCTAGTCTATTTTCTATTCCTAGTCTAGTCTATTTTCTATTCTATTTTTTCTATTCTAGTCACTATGTTATATATCTTCTATTCCTATTCCTAGTCTAGTCTAGTCTATTTTTTATTTTCTATTCCTAGTCTATTCTATTTTCTATTCTATTCTATTTTCTATTCTATTCTATTCTATCCCATATTATTCTATTCTATTTTCTATTCTATTCTATTCTCTATTCTATTCTATTCTATTCTATTCTATTCTATTCTATTCTATTCTATTCTATTCTATCCTATTCTATTCCTAGTCTAATCTAATCTAGTCTAGTCTAGTCTATCTGACAAAATGAGTTTCAATGTAGAGAACAGCAAAGTTTTACATCTAGGCAGGAAACATCAAAGGTACAAGTACAGATTGGGTGAGACCTGGCTGAAAAACAGTAACTCTGAGAGGGACCTTGGAGTCCTAGTAGATGATCACTTGACTATGAGCCAGCCGTGTGCAGTAGAAGCCAAAAAAGCTAATATAAACAGAGGCACAGAATCAAGATCACGCAAAGTATTATTACCGCTTTATAAAACCCTAGTGAGGCCACACCTGGAATACTGCAGCCGATTTGGGTCACCCTATCACAAAAAAGATGTTGAGAGTTTGGAAAAAATTCATAGAAGAGCAACTAAGATGACCCAAGGCCTGGAGACTAAAATATACAAAGAACAGCTCTTTGCGGGGGGGGGGGGGTCCTCCCTAATTTTTAAAAACAGAGAGCCTAAATTTAAAACGTGCTGACTTAAGGGATTTTTGGGCTGCAGCCAAACGTGTGTAAAACTTGGGGGGAGGGAGCAGAAGCAAATCCCAGATTGTGAAGATTTGGGTGTGTGCTTATGTGGCTACGCATTGTTGCCCTTCGCCCTGACTCAGCTCTTTCTGGGCGGGAGGATGCTGGCACAGGATCTTGGCACAGCTTCTCACTGCACACACCACAAAAACACACAAACACACACACACACACAGAGTGGCCTTCGACATCCTTGGCTTTTGGCACACACACAGACGTCCCACTGCAAACAACCCGTCAATGATTAATAAGTCCCTGGAAACGAACCTTGGCGACTCGGAGGAGTCAAAGGTGGGCCCAGCGGCGCCATTATTTTTCAAGCCGGGGTGAGGAAGATGGCATGGGGCAGGCAGAGGGAGGACAAGGCCCCCACCTGGCTGAGGTGCCCAGATCTTTGAAAGGAGGACGGGGCCACAGAGAAGACAGGTAACTGCCTCAAATTCCCTTCTATAAATAGAAGCTCTGGCCGGGGATGGGTGATGGGTGTGGGTTCTCCTTTTTTTCTGAAGACCAACTGTGCAAAATGCTAAAGGAGCCTTGGTGGCAGAACCTCCAGGGCTCAAGACAGTCTACCTGCAATGGAAGCAAAGTGCAGTTCAAATCAAAGGGCCGCCGTTCGACTTACTCTCCCAATGGGGAGCCCAGTTTCCGTCACTGAGACGTCAGTCAAAGTGAATTTTGCCCCGTTTTCTTGGGACAGTTGTTAAGTGAGTCCCCGCAGGTGAGCAGCCCGGCTGTTAAGTGAAACCGACTTCCCTGTTTTGATTTTGCTTGTGAGACGGTCGCAAAAAAGGGGATCCCGTGACACACACACACACATACACCCCGGGAGACTGCGACCGTCATAAATGTGAACCAGTTACGCAGGGTCCGAATTCTGATCACGTGAACTACGGGGACGCTGGTAAGTCTGAAAAACGGCCTGAATGAATACAATTAATAAATTTCTTTTTCTTTCCTTCCTTCCTTCCCTTTCTCTTTTCTTTCCTCCCTTCCTCCCTTTTCCTTCCTTCCTCTTTTTCCTCCCCTTTTCCTTCCCTTCCTTTTTTCCTCCCCTCCTCCCTTTTCCTTCCTTCCTTTCCTTTTTTCCTCCTCTCCTCCCTTCTTTTTCTTTTTTCTTTCCTTCTCTTTTCTTTTTCCCCTCCTCCCTTCCATTTGTTTATATTTCCAAATGATCCAACTTAAACTAAGAAAGGGAAGCCAAAGGTTACTTGATGATCCACATTATGGGGGCTGTTGCTTCATTGTAGGACCCGTGGGGAAACCTCTCTCCATTCGACCCACCAAGTGTGGAGGACACCAACATGGATGGAGAAGAACCCCGTCCGAGCCCATCTCCAGATCACCCAAGGGATGTTGAAAGAGGAGGAGAGGCCCAGCCTTCTCCAGGAAGTGCAACCCCTGGCAAATTCACAAGGGAGCAGAAGGACCCATCCCAGCCCAACCAACAAGCAGGATCAGATCATCTCCAGAACATGGGGACCATCAATCTGGGCTTCGTAGAAGAACCTCCACCGTACGCTCCACCGGATCCTAAAGACATTCACTTGTATCCACCGTTCCAAGCTGACCTTCCACCACGGAGTTACATCTTTTACCAGCCAACAGCTCCACGCCAGGCCCTAAGCCAACCACCGAACGTATTATCCAGCCCTTATCCTTTCACCATTGTGAGTTGTAAATAAGGGGAAATGCAATTTATACATGAGAATATTTGCAGGAGTGAACTGTGGGCTCTTTGGTGATACCCTCAGCTTGGCTGCTTTCTTGCAGATGTTTCATGACCCAACTAGATAACATCATCAGAGCTATTTAGGGAGCAGAGTTTGCAGGGAGGAGGAGGAGGAGGAGGAGGAGGAGGAGGAGGAGGAGGAGGAGGAGGAGGACTGTGGGGTCTTTGGTGCTCTCTAAACCTGGTTGTTTTCTTGCAGACGTTTCATGACCCAGCTAGGTAACATCATCAGAACCTCTGAAGAAAGATGGGATGTATCTTGATCAAACAAAAAATTGGGCGAGCTTCTCAGTTCAAGATGGTTCAATTTTGGCTTTTCTTTCAGTACCAGAGTGCCTGGCCTGGAGAGACCCCCCAAGTTGGTGACCAGAGGCTGCCACCCAAGGATTATATGGTGGAATCCGTGCTGGTGACAATTTTCTGCTGCTTGTTCACAGGACTGATAGCACTTGTGTATTCCCATGAGGTACGTACTGCTACGGCAAAGGAAAAAGCTGAGGTTTAGGAACATTCCTGAACTCCCATGCTTTAAGATGGGTGGATTTTAACTCCCCGAATTCCCCAGCCAGCCATGCTGTAAGATGGGTGGACTTCAACTCCCACAATTCCCTGGCCAGCCTTGCTTTGAGATGGGTGGACTTCAACTCCCAGAACCTAAATCAAAGTTGTTAGCTCAGTAACAGAAGGAAAAGACATATGTAGGTAGAACAGAATAGAGCTGGAAGGGGCCTTGGAGGTCTTCTAGTCCAGCCCCCTGCTCCAGCAGGAGAACGTATACCATCTCAGACAGATGACCTCCAAGGTCCCTTCCAACTTTACTATTATTATTATTATTATTATTATTATTATTATTATTATTATTATTATTATTATTATTATTATTGTTAAGTAGTCCTTGACTTATATAACCTTTCGCTTAGCGACTGTCTGAACTTACCGCAGCACTGAAAAAAAAGTGACTTTTCACACTTGGATCCCCCGTGGCCACAAGTATAAAAATTCGGACGCTTGTCCACTAGCTCATATTTATGACGATCACCGGGTCCTGGGGTCCCACGATTCCCTTTGGTGACCTTCTGACAGGTCAAAAAGAGAAGCCCGATCCACTTAACCATCAGGTTACTAACTGAATAACTGCAGTGATTGATTCACTTAAATCACTGTGGCCAAAAAGGTCGTAAAACAGGGCAAAACTACCTTAACAACTGCCTCATTTAGCAACAGAAAGGTTTGGGATCCCTTATAATCCTCCATCCAGGACTTGCCTGCGCTTGGCCCGGCTTCCCAGGAAGTTGAACAGAGGTCCATTATTCCTCACCTGTTTCTCAGCTAAAGTGGACGTTGATCCGAGATCCTCCGTTTTCTTTCTCACACAGACCCGGGCCGCTCTGAAACGCGGTGACCTCATCCAAGCCGCGGTGGCCTCCCGCAAAGCTCGCGCACTCGTCTTGTTCAGCCTCTTCTTCGGCGTCTTTGTGTCCATCGGCTGGATTGTCTACGTGGTGGTGACCCTGTATCTATGACCCAAGGGGGTTGGGATGGACCTTAAGAGTTTCCTACAAAGTTGTGGCGTGGAGTCTTTGCCATTTTCAGCCAGCTTGGGGACCAGTTTCTCACGATGACGCTTCTTTCTCTTCTCCAAAACCAACCACGTCAACACCTTGCAAGAACGATTGTCCTAAAAAAAAGTGATGAGACACACACCCTACTCTAGCCATTTCATTTTCTTTTTCTATTCTACTCTACTCTATCCATTTCATATTCTATTTCTATTTCTATTCTATTCTATCCATTTCATATTCTATTTCAATTCTATTCTAATTTCTTATTCTATTCTATTCTATTCTATTCTAATTCTAATTCTATTCTAATTCTATTCCATTCCATTCCATTCCATGGACTTACCGAGGCTAACTTAATTGCTATTTCATTGGTCTTATTTCAAGAAATACAAGAACAGTCTGGTCCAAGAAGTGTTTAAGGAAAATTCCAGATAACCTCCTTGGAAAAGCTACACAGGTTATCCCTGGGGCAGGTCAGGAGGGTGAATGTTGATCCATGGGTTCTTCAAACCCTGAGATCCAATCAGGGGCCTGGCAATGTGAAGACATCAGCAATTCTATACCAACTTTTATTTAGGACGCTTAATTTAGGAACAATAAATGCTTGAAGGATCTTTGCCCATTCGTGTCCATCATTTGACCACTGACCTACAGGTGTAATAGGGATCAGCAGTTGATTTTCATGCACAGGTAAAAAGATTGGATGGATGGATGGATGAATGGATGGATATGATATAGATAGATAGATAGATAGATAGATAGATAGATAGATAGATATAGACAGACAGATATATAGATCAATGATAAATAGAAATTAGGTAAATAGATAGGAAGATAGATTGGGCAGGAGACAGACAAACAGGACAGATACATAGATCAATGATAAATAGATTAGGTAGATAGATAGGAAGGTAGATGGACAGATGAGATAGATAGCTAGACAGACAGAAAGACAGGAGAGATAGATGGATAGATAGTAGATGAGTAGACGGATAGATGGATAGGAAATAAGATGAGATATATAGATGATAGATAGATAGATGAGAGAGAGAGAGAGAGAGAGAGAGAGAGAGAGAGAGAGAGAGAGGGAGAGAGAGACAGAGAGCTTATGAGAACAGTCTTCTCTACAATGTTGCCTAAGCTTTTGAGATATAGCAAAGGGCAAAAAAACCCTGAATTTCTTTGATCAGTTCCTCAATGCCCATTTCAACTACCTATTTTCAACTTGGCAAAGGTGGAAATACATTTGCAGGTTGAATTCACGGGTGCAGCTTTGAAAACCTTGTTACCGCTGATGGCGACAGAAGCAAGAACTATCTTTTACGATATGCTACTGGGCGGAGGCAACATTGCAGGAAAAGCACAATCACGAATAGGCGGAGTTCTTTAACTGTGTTTTATTTTCACTAGGGTTTTTTCTCTCTCTCCCTTGAATATATATATATATATAAAACAACGGTTTTCAGGTTTTTTTTATTTGCAAGTTGGGGATCTACACCGTCGAGCCATAAATACACAGTGTTGGGCTCAGGAGACCTGGCGGATGAGGCAGCCAGGTTAAGATAACCGAGGACAATTTTGTAAAAGTTTATCAGGGTTCTCTTTTGATTTCCAAAATCAAACGGAATCTCCCCCTTTTTCTCCTTTCACGCCTTCCTCAGTGCTGGTCTCACTAGCTCAGTGATTCTCAATCTTGGCAGGTTGAAGATGTGTAGACTTACACTCCCAGAATTCCCCAGCATGGGGAGGAGGAGGGGGGGTGGGGAAAGGAGGAGGAAGAGGATCATAACAATGGAGAAAAAGGAGGAGAAATGAAGAGGAGAAGGAGGAGGAGAGAAAGAGAAGGATCATAATGATGGAGAAAAAGGAGAAAGGAGGAGGAAAGGAGGATCATGATGGAGAAAAAGGAGAAATGAGGAGAAGAGAAGAAGTATCATAATGATGGAGAAAAAGGAGAGGAGGAGGAAAAGGATCATAATGATGGAGAAAAAAGAGGAGAAATGAGGAGGAGGAGGAAGAAGAGGATCATAATGATAGAGAAAGGAGGAGAGGAAGAGAAGGATCATGATGGAGAAAAAGGAGAAATGAGGAGGAAAGAAGGATCATGATGGAGAAAAAGGAGAGGAGGAGGAGGAGGAAAAGGATCATAATGATGGAGAAAAAGGAGAAGAAATGAGGAGAGGGAGAGGAAGAGGAGGAGAAGAAGGATCATAATGACGCATCATTAAGGGATGATGCCTTTGGTGATTTAGGGGATGGAGCAGGAAAAGAGAATGAAAAGAAGAAGAAGAGATGATGGCGACAGAGAAGAAAAAGAGAGAAGGGGAAGAAGAGAAGGTGGTAGGGGTGATGGAGAAGGAGACAAGCGGCCGTGGAAAGAGGCCACCTCAGTTCTGGCCACTGAGCAAGGGGAGAAAATCAAAGATGAAGCATGAATTATGCCCAAAACCTCAACCTTCCCAAATGTGGAAGGCAAGAGTCTCGGGTATCTGATTTCAAGGAGCAAAGAAGGGAAGAAGCCCTAGAGATTTCTCCAGCAGGCCTTGAGGGGAGCTGAAGGACAAAACACCGGCTGTGCCGCATGGGAGTCATAGTCCAACACATCTGGCAGGTACTTTGGAAGAGAACCTTCAAGGGGACGCTGCCTCTTATTTTAACGGTTGGGGCGGGAGTAAATTTAGGTTTAGTCATTGTCTCTGGAGCCCAACGATCCCAACCAACCTGGTTTAATTCTGCCCACGATGGGTTTGACCTAACTGTGGCTTGTGCCTCGGCTGATGCCTTCACAGCCTGGAGATTTTTTTTTTTTTTTTGTCTCTTTCCTATCCATATTCCTTTCTTAAAAAACGATTCCTTGCCAAAATAATAATAATAACAATAATAATAATAATATTAATAACCAACTAAAAACAACCAAAACAAAATGACAAATGCCCCCCCAAAGGAAAAAACAAAAAACAAAAGAAAGAAAAAAATATCCATGGGCAAATTCAAACATGCACATTGCCACGAAAACGCAACGGTCTTAGGATCCCGTGTGTGTGTACAGGCGGCCTGTGTTTTTTTCTACATATTTACTGCCTTTACAAGCTAGTACCATCACTAAGTTAGATGTTCCCGTTTCCAACGTGGAAATCCGTACGTGGGGGGGGGTGTGGAGAGTGAAGAGATGACACTAGAGTTTTAGATAGGATGAGGAAGCGATTCACGTTCAGGGAAGAGATGGAGAGAAGGACGGTTGGTGAAAGCCCCCCACAAGTTCTTCTGCCCCTTCTCACGAGGGCTCCAGAAGGAGCTGGTGTTGTCGGGTCAACGCCGTCTCTGACAGGGAAGGTGGTGGAGGACCCAGAGTTTACCTCCACCCCTTCCAAGCTTCCTTGACTCAGCTTGTCCCACTTTTTTTTTTTTTCCTAGAGTGGAAGTATCTGAGATGGTTGTCCTCGGCATGCTCTTCAGGAAATGCCCTTGGCCCATCCATAGTTACCCCATGGCGATCTTGGTTTACGTCTCTCTTCTCCACTTGAGAGTGTGCAAAAAATGTAGGCTGGCTGATTTTCCCCCCCTCCTCCCTCTCTCTTACACACACACCTTGAGTACAACTTGACATTTGGCCAAACGGGAAGTCAACCCTTCTGATTCTTTTCCATCCCTCACTTTCCAGACTGGGAAGGTGATGTTCAAGAGCCCAGAAGTGATGGAGAAAGATCAAAGGAGGGGAGAGAGGTCTGAGCAGAGTGCCAAGGCTTCGAGCTCGTCGCCAATCCCAATCGGATGCCCACGGCCTTCCTGCTTTGCCCCCTTCCTAAGTCTTCTCTTCCCGGTCTGTTTTCCGTCGCGTGATGTTTCGGGGTTTGATTTTGAGTGACAGTTCCCACAAGGCCTCTTCGGCCAGATGGTCGCTGAAGTCGTTGAAAAAGGAGATGATGTCATCGTTGCGTTTGATGTCATAATGCCTGCAAAGATCAGTGTGAGAGAGAGAGAGAGAGGGAGGGAGGGAGGGAAAGAGAGAGAGAGAGAGAGAGAGAGAGAGAGAGAGAGAGAGAGAGAGAGAGAGAGAGAGGAGAGAAGCCATTTAGACTGGAACGGACCCATGTTGGGTCAACCTTTAAGTGTTATAAAATACAGGCAGTCTTCTCCACTTAAGATAACAATTGAGGCCAATTTTTCTCTCTCTAAGTGAAATGTTTGTTAAGTGAGTTTTGCCCCATTTACGACCGTTGTTAAGTGTATCACTGCAGTTAAGTTAGTAACGTGGTTGTTAAATGAATCTCGCTTCCCCTGTTGACTTTGACTGTCGCAAAAGGGGATCACGTAACCCCAGGACCATGTGACCGTCATAAATATGAGTTGGTTGCCGAAGGTCTGAATTTTGATCAAGCGACCATATTGCGACGGTCGTTAAGTGTGAAAAGCATCCCGAAACGTGGGCACAGGGAACAAGAAAGCCACAGGCCAAAGAAGCAGGGACACCCCCCCCCCACTTACACTTGCTGGAACCGCCTCATGTTATCCAGGATGTTGAACTGCTGCCATCGCTTGGAGAAGTTGACTTTGCCGTCGATGTAGTCGGGGTTTCCCAGGTGCACGAAAGTCAGGTCTTGCAGGATCAGGCCCCTGGAGAAGGAGAGGGGAAGAGCTTCGCTTAATGACCAGGCTGGTGTTCTCTATGGGTTAGGCTCAGGTTGAAGAGATGGCTTTTGTGATGTTCTCCAAAGAGATGGGGAAAAAAAGAAGGGTTGTGTAGCTACTCACAAGTAAGGGATGCAAGGGGGTTCGACCTCACCCAGAGCAGCCCGGTAAGCCCGGAAGGAAGACGAGCTGTCAATCAGAGTACAATACTCGGCTAAGCCCTAGACAAAAGAAGACGAAGAAAGGTTTAGATAGTCCTTGACTTACAAGCATCTGTTTAGCGACCGCTTGAAGTTAGAACTTGGCTGGGCCTCAGTCAAGGTCTTCTGCTCGGTCACGAGGACTGATTTCCATTAATGTTATTTTTGTAAGCTGCCCAGAGTGGGAGGGACAGAGTGGGCAGATATACAAAATGTTCTTAAATGACAGAAAAATAGAGTTCCAATTACTGTTACTTTGGTCATCTTAACTTTGGGTCTGGAGAGATGAGCTAGCTTGCAAGAACTGGAGTGTGGCATCATCAAACTCTTTATTATACACACTCTCTCACACACACACAAACACAGACAAAGAGGGAGAGGGAGAGAGAGGGAGAGAGAGAGAGAAAGAGAAAAAGAGAGATAGAGAGAGAGGAGAGAGAGAGAAAGAGAAAGAGGGAAAAAGAAATAAAAAGAAAGATAAAGTGAGGAGAGAAAGAGAAAAAGAGAAAAAAGAGAGAAAGAAAGAGAGAGAAAGAGAAAAAAAGAAAAAAGAAAGAGAGGAAAAAAGAGAGAGTGCAAGGAGAAATATGAATATGAAATACAGATAGTCCTTGACTTCAAAGTCACAATGGCACTGAAAACAGTAACTTATGTCTGTCGCAGCATCCCAAAATTCAAAATTCAGACGCTTGGCAACCGACTCATATTTATGACGGTTGCAGCGTCCTGGGGTCACGTGACCTTCTGACAGTGGGGAAGCTAGATTCATTTAACAGCTGCGTTCCTCACTTAACAACTTGCAGCGATTCCCTTTGCAACCGTGCCGAGAAAGGTCACGAAGCGGAGCAAAACCTCCTTAACGAATGTCCCACCTAGCGACAGAAATGTCGGGCTGGGCTGTGGTCGTAAGCCGAGGGAGCCCCCCCCCCGGTCAAAAGTGAAAGCAACCCACCTCAGAGGTCTGCTTCTGCCACTCCAGACGCCGAATGGGGGCCGAATCCAGCGCGGAGAGGATGGCCAGGTAGGAATTGAAATTGTTGAGTTTCCGTAAGTGCTGCGGCGAGAGGGAGAATGGAGGCAGTTGTGTTACTTACCTTGCTTACCTGTGGCAGGCCTCTTCCCTCCCTCAGCTGGAGCTTTACCTTCATGATTTTGATAAATTTCAGCAACAGCCTCTCTCGATCTTGAGACTTTTCCTGCTGCATGATTATCGAACGGACCCTGCAGATTAGAAAAAGATTTTACAAAATTGACCAGACGTCTTAAATTTCTTATACGGGGGGAAACTGAGTCCAGCTTTTTTTTTTAAAATAAATAGAAAGATAGATAGATAGATAGATAGATAGACAGACAGACAGACAGACAGACATACAGACAGACAGGCAGACAGACCCAAAATCACCTAGCTGGCTTTCATAGCTGTTGGGAAACACACCAGAACCCTTGTTCTCTCTTACCAGTAAGACATATTATTAAAGTGCTCAGTGAACTGCGTCAAGTTGGGACTTTTCTCCTCATTCTGTTCCTTTGCCCAGAGTAAAACTTCAGGGATCTGAAAAGGATGAAGAGGACATAGAAAAGTTAGATAGCTCTTCCATTACTGCAGTATCAACTTCTATTCTATTCTATTCTATTCTATTCTATTCTATTCTATTCTATTCTATTCTACTCTAATTCTATTCTATTCTATTCTATTCTTTATTCTAGTCTAGTCTAGTCTAGTCTAGTCTCCTTCAAAGGCAGGTGTTTGATATCTGGACCCCGGGGGTGACTTCTGCCCACAACCAGGATGGCACCACCGGGCAACAGTAGGTCATTTGAACAGGGAGTTATGCACAGAGACAACGGGCACATGGAGAGAGGGGATCTCTGTGTGGTTGTTTGGGCAGGAAGAATTGGAAATGATTTTAGAAAACAGTTACTCCTTTGATTGGAAAGGAAACATGCTGAAGATACGGGCGTTGTGCAGAGATGCAATGGGCACCCTCCTTGGACTTGATAGGGCCTTTAAAAATACACACAGACACACACACACGCAACAAGAACGCCTAGAGTTAGGGATGGTTGAGATCATACACTGGTGATTAACTTCGATGCATCGTTTTCGTACCTCAATCTTATAAAACAGCTCGGCGTCAAGGAGCGTGAGCTGTTCTGAAATTTCGTGGCTGTGAAAATCATGGAGGGTGCCAGGCCTGAAAAAGAGAAACAATGAGACAAGAAACAGATTTATTGAGAAGGGTATATATATTCACTCTTCAAAAGGAGGAAAAAAAAAAACCCACACAAACATGAAATGACGGGCTAAGCATGACATTCAGCATCCCGGTTATCTCATCTCCTTGACTGCAGAAATAATTGCAGAAAGGATGAATTTCTGTCATTGGCTAAGCAATCTGGACTGCAGCTTCCTTAGTAAAGTTTCTGGGGTTTTTTTTCCCCCCTATGGTTCTGCCCCATGGAGCTGGCCGCCCATCTTACCTGGCTGCCACCCATCGAGCTGCCAAAGGCTTGATGGAGTTGGTGTAACGCAGCATTTTCCTCTGATTGACTTTGTCCAGGATATTTTTGCGCAAGACCCGGGCGAGGCTGAGCTCTCCGTTGCAGACCAAGCGGAAGACCAGTTCCATCAGCAGCTTCAGGATCTCCTCGGTCAGCTCTACCAAACTGGGAGAGAAAGCGATCCGGTGAAGCCTACCCCTCAGATCCACCAAAGAGCAGTTGATGTGACGCTTCTGTGGATCCCCAAGGTGGAACTCGGCTGGGGTTCTGAGAAGCTTTCTCTGAACTTAAATGAGATTTTCCACCTCTTAGCCCTCACGATCTTAAACTAGATCTTCAATGGGCTAGTCCTCATGATTATAGGAGGAAATTTGACAGCCCAAGCAGCTACATCGACAGAAGGTTCAGATCCGTTAAAAGACACCTAACAAGTCACGGGTCATATACTATGTTTATTTTATAGGTAGTGAAGTTTAATACAAGAATACATTTAGCATATTGACTATTGGGTGACCTAGAACCCATGTCTGGTTCTAGCTTGTTCTTCTGCAGATCAAATCCAAGACTCCCCGCCAAAAAAACCCCATATTTAACAGAGTTTCCCCTTACCATAATTCATCCACCACTCGGACCAGGACAAAAAACGTATTCTTGCTGACTCGTTTCTTATTGTTGTCTGGACAGTGACAGAACTTCTCATATGTTGGAGGGTGAGTTAAAGAAGTTACAACAGGTGGTGACAACCAGCCAACACTGCTGGTCTTAGTAGGATCAAATTCCTGGGTGGGAATCTCCAAAGCTGTAGACTACACTGGCAAGTGAGACGACAATTTAGAACAGGGGTGTCAGACTTTGGCAACCTTAAAGACGTATGGACCTCAACTCCCAGAATTCTGCAGTCAGCACGTAGGCTGAGGAATTTTGGGAGCTGAAGTCCACGAGTCTTGAAAGTTGCCAAGATTGGACAGGCTGGTTTAGAAGACAATGACAAACCAGTTCTGTATTAATTTGGTCTGGTCTGGTCCTGGAGAGGCTGCAACAGTCTAAGTGTGAAAAATGGTCAAAAGTCACTCTTTTCAGCACTGAATGATCAATAGTTGTAAGCTAAGGACTGTTTGCATAGGGTCTCCTGCTTGAGCAGGGGGCTGGACTAGAAGACCTCCAAAGTCCTGTCCAAAACTGTTTTCCTGTATTCTGGTACCTGGAAAGGAAACGGACGCACACTTGGAATCCTTCAGCTGAGTCTGCATTAGGACTTTACTTCTTGTGGTTTACAGCTTGGAAGTTGGTCTAAGTGCTGATCTTGGACATTGCCGGTGTAGGGGTCATCTAACAAGACAATATCCAGCACCGCGCACTTCTCAAGATCCTGGGGTGGGGAAAGTCACCCCCCCAACCCCATTTTGTCTATCCCCTTCCTCAAAAGGATATCGGTATTGTAGTTTTTTTATCAGCTCTTCTGGCGAAATGAACGTTCGGTAAGTTGTCAAGAAGGCTTCGCAGTAAAGCACCAAGTCTGGTTGAGGGAGGAAGAAAAATAGAAATTAATTCATCTTCTGATTAGCAGGGGGTCTTCTCAGCCTGGGGTTGGGGGGCATCACCGCTTCCATCCGGGATGAATTTCTAAGCATTCGTGACCCTAACAGGCCAGGAGCACCCGGAGAGATGAGAGTTGGGCAAAGGAAAGACAGCCAACACAACTCCACAAAATAGCAACCTGGGAAGCCATGATTAGAAAGCCCGGCTGACCATGATACCCGTCTTCCAGACCATAATATAGCTCAGGATGGAGAGTGGATATTTTATTCATTGCTTTATTTTACCGATCGTATTTAGAAGCCGTCCTTCTCCCTCACAGGGGGACCCCTGGGTGGCGTGCAAAAAATACATTGAAAGCTTAAAAACGGAATCTATAGAGCCAGACTGGGCTTGTGGTTAAGGTCGCAGGCTAGAAAACTAGGAGACGGTGAGTTCTAGTCTGGCCTTAGGGATGAAAGCCAGCTGGGTGACGTTGAGCCACTTTTCAAGGATCTCTTTCCAAAATCCTTCCTGTGTCTCAATGGCAAAATCTCACACTAGTTGCATCAGGGCGAGCCCATGTTCCCTCTTACCTTTTACCGTCCCCTCCACCGTGGCCGTCTCCGTCGCGTGCACCAAGAGGATGTCTCCTGAGCCCCCACGGACATCTGGACCATCGTCACCCTGCAGCGGAAGAGAATTCCCCCCCCAAAAAAAACCCCACTAAGAGATGATGCACCAATTTCCTTTGGATGCGGCCACTGTGCGTTTCCTGAACAGGTCTGCAAACCGACCAGCATCCATCTTCTCCTCCCGTTGTGCAAATGCCTTGAGTGCAGGTTGACTGTGGCCCAAACACACGGCAGGTTTCTTGTATGAACCCACCTTGCGTGGCTTCAAACTAAGAAAGATCAAACTTCCCAAATATCCAAATAGGGGTTGTGAAAGAAATCCTTTGAGGGGTGAGAATTATGGAATAACAGAGTTGAAAAGGACCTTGGAGGTGCTCTAATCTAAACCCCTGCTTAAGGAGGAGACCGTTCCAAAATGGCGGTCTCATCTCTTCATGAGGATCTCCAGGGATGGAGCACCCACAAATTCTGGAGGCGAGCATTTCCACTGACTGTTTTCATTGTCAGGAAGTTTCTCCCAAGTTCCAGGTTGCTTCTCTCCTTGATTAGTTTCCCTCCGTTGCTTCTTGTCCTGCCTTCAGGCGCTTTGGAGAATAGCTTGACTCCCTCTTCTTTGGGGCAGCCCCTGAGATATTGGAACACTGCTACCATGTCCCCCCTCGTCCTTCTCTTTATCACACTGGACATAGCAATAGCAATAGCACTTATCTACCGTTTCACAGTGCTTTTCAGCCCTCTAAGTGGTCAGCATCTCGCCTCAACAATCAGGGTCTTCATTTTACCCACCTCAGAAGGATGGAAGGCTGAGTCAACCTTGAGCCAGTCGGGATCAAACTCCTGGCTGTGGGCAGAGTTAGCCTGCAATGCTGCATACAACCAGTGGGCTACCAAGATATAGCTAGTTCCTTTAACTATTCATTGTACTGTTTAGCCTCCAGTCCCCTAATCATCTTTGTTGCTCTTCTCTGCATTCTTTCTAGAATCTCAGCATCTTTTTTGTATCGTGGTGACCAAAACTGGATGCAGTATTTTTCCAGGAGTGGCCACACCAGTGTAGTATAAAAGCAGGACTATCGCTTCTCGTGATCTGGATGTTATCCCTCTGTTGATGCAGCCCAGGACTGCATCGACAGAGGAAGGAATTAATCTAGCCTAGTTCCAGAGCACAATCTGAAAGCAACAAAGCAATCTGAAAGGAGACTTTCCAACTTACTTCCTGTCTCAAGGTCAGCCTGGACATAATTTCAGTGTGGTTAACCAGGGACAATTCGTCAACTTCCTCCTCCATCTGAGGATTCTCCAAAGAGTCCAGTGACTTTTGCGGCCTGGAGGTATAATACAAAAGTGGATGCACTGCGTTGAAAGAAGGTTTCTAGTTCTCATGGAAGAAATTGGAGATCGCTCAAAGGTTTAACCAACTCAGCTAACAACTGTCTCGCTTAGCGACATGAATTCTGGGCTCAATCGTGGTCGTAAGCCGTAAGCGGTCTGTATTAAATCTCACCTTTCATTCTCGTGGTTTTCCTTCCCTGGGGTCCCACTTAGAGCTGCTGATTCTTTTGTGTGGTCATCCTTAATTACTGGGGTTTCCTGGAAAAAAAGTCAGATAGAACGAAGACCTGCATTATAGGCCAGATACAGATAGTCCTCCAGTTACAACAGTTCATTTAGTGACTGTTCAAAATTACAAAGGCACTGAAAAAAAGGTGACCCATGACCTTAAAAGCCACTGCTGAATCCAATTTTCTATTTGCTAAGAAACCCAGTTGCTGCTTCAGTGCTGGCGCCCTCCAATCAAAGCCAACAAATTCTTCTACAAGCCAACAAATTCTTCTACTATTCTTCTACGAAGACGTTAAAATAAAGAATTTACATTTACTAGGCTGGAGACAGGCAGTGCGAGAGTCAGAGGGGAAGTTAAAAACCCACAGAAGTCCTTAGCAGAGGTGGTTAAAAGAAAAACAAAAAATGCTTTTCTGATTCTGGAATAAGAATTTTAAATTCAGTTTGGTACAAGCCACCCCTGAAATGGCAGCATTATGCAGGAAAACAGGGGAGCCTAACGGAGTCCAGGTATGATTGCAAGAGAATATTTATAGCTCAGGCTGAACTGTGGGCTCCTCGGTTGTTTCCAGACAGACGTTTCATGACCCAACTAGATAACGTTATCAGTACTAGAGAGGAGAAGGAGGAGGAGGAAGAGGAGGAGGAGAAAGGAAAGAGGAGAAAGGGAGAAGGAGAATGACTGTGGAGTCCTTGGTGCTCTCTGAGCTTGGTTGTTTTCATGCAGACATTTCATGACCCAACTAGATAACATTATCAGTGCTAGAAAGGAATGGGGTTTGCGAAGAAGAGGAGGAGGAGCAGGAGGAAGAAGAAGAAGAAGAAGAAGGAGAAGGAGGAGAAGGAGGAGAAGAAGGAGGAGGAGGAGGAGGAGGAGGAGGAGGAGGAGGAGGAGGAAGAAGAAGAAGAGACATGGAGGAGGAGAAGAACGCTGGGGAGTCCTTGATGCTCTCTAAGCTTGGTGGTTTCCTTGCAGATGTTTCATGACCCACCTAGGTAACGTTATTAATGCTAGAAAGGAATGGGGTTTGTGAGGAGGAAGAGGAGGAGGAGGAGGAGGAGGAGGAGGAGGAGGAGATTGGGGAGTCCTTGATGCTTTCTGAGCTTGGTGGTTTCCGTGCAGACGTTTCATCACGTAACACCCTCAGTGCTACTGAGTGTGACTTGCTCCATGTTTATACACAAGAGTTCAGGTCCTGAATGCTGGCAGGGGAGCAGAAACCAGACCCACAGCTTCCCTGCTACTCCTTCCCAGTAGGCATGCAAAGCCATTGCTGATGCTCCTCCTGGTTCTACTTACTCCTTCAGAGTAGGAAGGAAGAAGCTCCCCATTGCTTTGACCCGAGGAATACAGATTGACGTATTCACCCTCCCCTGCCGCTGCGCCAACGTTGTCACTCTACAGAGACAGAAGGGAAGGGAGGCAAAGGGGTGATCCCCACCTGGCAGGAGGAACGCAGCACCCTCAGCAAAGCACGATGGGATAGGAGGCCCGAGATGGGCTCCTGAACATGCTCTGGCTATTTGGAGATGGCAGACCAAAAGGGGGAACTCTTTAATATTAACAGAACCAGTCTGGTGTACTGGTTAAGCCGCAGGTGGTGAGTTCTAGTTCCGCTTTAGCCATGAAAGGCAACTGAGTGACTCCAGGCCAATCACCAGGAGACGGTGAGTTCTAGTTCTATCTTAGGCATGAAAACCTCTGAGTGACTTTGGGCCCCTCCACCAGGAGATGGGGAGTTCTAGTCCCACTTTAGGCATGAACACTGACGGGATAATTTGGGGCCAGTGACCAGGAGACAATGACTTCTAGTACCACTTTATGCATGAAAGTGAGCTGGGTGACTTTGGGTCAATCACCAGGAGATGGTGAGTTCTAGTCCTGCCCTTAGGCGTGAAAGCCAGCTGGGTGACTTTGGGCCAATCACCAGGAGACAACGAGTTCTAGTACCACTTTATGCATAAAAGCCGATTGGATGACTTGGGCCAATCAACAGGAGACGGTGAGTTCTAGTCCGGCCTTAGCCATGAAAGGCAGCTGGGTGACTTAATTTAACAACTCAGTGATTTACTTAACAACGCTGGCAAACGGAGGTGCTAAAATGGGGCAAAGCTCACTTCACACGAATGTCTCGCTTAGCGATGAAAATTTTGGGCTCAACTGTGGTCGTACGTTGAGGACTACCTTGCTCGGTGTCCGAACTGCCCGCAGAAAGCTAAGCCAGCTAAAACTGGGCCGCCCTCCCCAAGTCCCCCCTCCGGGTTCTCACCGAAGACTTCTGGAGAGATTCGGTGAGAGAAAGTGAGACAGAAACAGTCTTGGTTATGCTGCTGTCTTGAGAAGAAGAGGAGGAAGAGGAAGAAGAAGAAGAAGAAGAAGAACAAGAAGATGGCCGCTCCATGGTGCCGAGGGGCTGGCCAGACGTGGCTGGCGCTGCCGCCGGGTCGGAGATCGGAGCCTGGTGTGCAGGTGGAAAAGTCTGAGGAGAAGAAGAAGTGGCCACGGTAGATGAAAGAAAGGGAGAGAGGATGGAGATTTGGCCACGAGGCAGGAAGTCTTGGGAGAAAGACCTGAAGACCGATTTGTACTGGGAAGACGGGAGGAGGTGGATGACGTGGGGACGGCGCCAAGTCAATGGGAAAGGATAGAATTGGGGCAGGGTGGAAGGAGATGAGCGGGAGAAGAGGAGGGGAGGAGAGGAGAGAAAAAGACAGAGAAAAGAAATTAGAACAATGTACACAGTAGCGCCACGGCGCAGTGGTTAAAGACACTCAGCTTGTCGGCTGGAAAAGGGGACAAGACCTGAATGTCTCGCGACGGGGCGAGCTCCCGTTCCTCGCTCCAGCTCCTGCCCACCTTAGCCATTCGAAAGCATGCAACTGCGAGTAGATAAACAGGTACCACTTCGGTGAGGAAGTATCTGAGCATCCTTTGAGCATCTGAGCCCTTTCCACGTTGCAGGCTCAATTTTGCGAAGAACTCAGAGGCCAAAGCGATGCAGAGAACCTTCACTTAAAAAAAGAATATCTAGAACGAATGACGGAAACGTAAAAAGGGCCTTTGGCAAACGGGGGTCCATCTGCAAGTGGCGGGAGGCCAGGAAACGGCTGTTTCGCCTGACGGGACTGAGGCTTATGAAATTGGACCTTCCCGTTTCCTCCGTTCCCTTCCTTTGGCTCTTGAGCTGGGCAACGTCTGGAAAATGCGCTGGGAATCATGGACCTCATCGGCCTCTGCCTTACCACCTGCTTTCAAGTTTGAAGGAGAACATCTAGCACTGATGGTGTTACCCAGTTGGGTCATGAAATGTCTGCGTGGAAACATTTGAGTGATTCACTCTTGGGCTACCAGAGAAGTCTACTTACAGGCTGTAAAAGAGGAAGAGTTACTAAGCTCCTCCTCCTTCTCTTCTCCACAAACCCTACTCCCTTCTAGCACTGATGATGTTACCTAGTTTGGTAACGAAACGTCTGCAAGAAAACCACCCAGCTCAGAGAGCACCCAGGACCCCACAGTCCTCCTCCCCCTCTTCCTCCCCCCTTCTCCTTCTCCTGCACTCCACACACCCCACTCCCTCCTAACACTGAAGATGTTCCCCAGTTGGGTCATGAAACGTCTGCAAGAAAACCAGCCAGCTCTGAGAGCCCCAAGGGCTCCACAGTTCACAAATGGTCTCTTGTATTGGAACATCAACAGTGCTAGAGAGTGGGGGTTATATAAGTAGCTACACGAGGCTCCTGGTGATTCGCCTTCTTTCGTGATGAATATATATATTTTTAAAAAGAGTGAGAGGAAGCAAGCTGCGAAAGGAAAGGTCTCCGTTAGTAACTCACCGAGTGTGCGGGAAAGGAACTATTCTGCTGGAGTAAGGAGTTAGAGACGGACACGCTGAGACCCTGACCCGGGCAGACCTCCTCGGAGGCCACGGGGCCCTTAGATGGCTGGACACAGTAGGAGACAGAAGAGAAGGGAGCAGCGAAAGAAGCCTGTGGGAAGGAGAGAAAGAAGAAGGGAGAGGAAGAAAGACGAAAGGAGGAAGAACAACCTGCATTGGTGAGAGATAAACCCAGCCCCTGCTTTGGGAGGAGGGTGGGGGGCTGGGCTAGAGGACCTCTAAGGCCCCCTTCCGAGCCTACGATGCCGGATTCTTTTTCTATCTAAACACAGGCAGCCTTCGATGTACAAAACAGTTCATATAGTGGCCGTGAATGACCGGGTTGGGAGGGACCTCGGAAACCTTTTACAAGCAGTGCTTGATTGACAGCCGTCCGTTTAGTGACGGTTCAAAGTTACAGCGGCACTGGAAAAAAAAGGGACTGGCGACTGCTTTTTGCAGCATCCCCCCGCAGTCACACGTGATCCAAATCCAGACGCTTGGCCCCTGACTCATACTTATGACGGGTGCAGACAAGCAAAGTCTTAGCCTCAGAAACCTTGCTCACAATTTTGGTTTCGCAAGTCAAGGGCTACCTGTACGTCCGACAGTCGGAAACCGGCAAACTCCGGCAAAGAGGCGGATTGTTTAATATTTGCTTTCTGGAAAAAAAACCGTGGCGAGAGAGGAAAGGGAAACGGCTAAGGATCTGGTTTTCTTTCCCGAAAAAAAAAGGGGGGAAAAAAAAGGATTGAAATCAGAAAAAAAGAAACAAACAAAGAAAAAAAATAACCCCCAAATGGAATAAAAGAGAAAAGGGAAGCAGGGGAAGTTGCAGGCAGTCCTTAGAAGGCGAGAAAAGAAACAGAGGAACACAATGCTTCACTGCAAGAGCACATCGCTGGGGAAACTGAGTCACAGAATATCACCCACCACCACCACCCCGGGTAATTACATTCTGGTGCTTTTGCCACCCCCCAAAGCTTGCTTGTTTCATTTTGTAGAATCAAGCTTGACTTCTCTGGGTTCAGAAGCATTTCAAGGGGATCTCCTGGGACCTGTGAATTGTTGGTTCTCCCTGGCTTGATGTCTTCAGGGTTCTTTGTGTTACCATTTGAATCGCAACTGGGTTTAATCTCCGCTTGCAGCTTCCCTCTGGAAGTTGGGGGTGGGGTTCAAGAAGAGACTGGACAGTCCTTTGTCCATAATGGCCTTTTGCATGGATTGGACTAGAAGACCTTCAAAGTCCCTTCCGGCCCTATTATTCTACGTTCTGTGTCAGTTATGGAGGTGAAACCTGGAAGAAGGCACCAGCTGGGGATGGGCTATGAACATTCAATACAATAAAGCATAATAAAAGATACTAATTGATTTAATATTTAGGATTTAGATGTATAAGGGAAATAAAAAATAGTCACTAGAATAATAATAATGATAATGATGATGATGATGATGATGAAGTTGGAAGGGACCCTGGAGGTCATCTAGTCCAACCCCCTGCTCAGGCAGGTAACCCTATACCATTTCGGACAAATGGCTGTCCAGTCTCTTCTTTAAAACTTCCAGTGTTGGAGCATTCACCGCTTCTGGAGGCAGGTTGTTCCACTGGTTAATTGTTCTCACTGTCAGGAAGTTTCTCCTTAGTTCTAAGTTGCTTCTCTCCTTGATTAGTAACAGAATAACACAATAACAGAATTGGAAGGGACCTTGGAGGTCATCTAGTCCAACCTCCTGCTCAGGCAGGAAACCCTACACCATTTTGGACAAATGGCTGTCCAGTCTCTTCTTAAAAACTTCCAGTGTTGGAGCATCCACCGCTTCTGGAGGCAGGCTGTTCCACTGGTTAATTGTTCTAACTGTCAGGAAGTTTCTCCTTCGTTCTAGGTTGCTTCTCTCCTTGATTAATTTCCATCCGTTGCTTCTTGTATTTTATTAGTAAGTGATGAGGTATTCGGATGAGAAATAGAATATGTTTGTGAGATAAAGTAAGAATTCATCTGAGTAAATAATAAATGTATTTTAGATATGACAATTATTTTGTAATCAACTAAGGGATCTTTGGGCTACCCGGAACCTAAAGACTATGGACATTAAGCTAACGGGAATACTGTAATTGAAATTAGGTAAAATTCAAAAAACAGGACATGAAGGCGTATAAGTTAAAAAAAATATTGATACATGTCTTAACTGACTGAGTTATAATTAGCAATGTATTAATCTGAATGTGATACAATAACTAAGGGAAATACAGAGGAAGCTTTTGATGATGTAACCTGACATATGCATGAAAGAGCTTGTTGTTTGATTATGGGCTACCCAATCACCATGTTGCTTCCTTAACACTTGGAGCTTTGTAAAATTGGAAAATTAATAAAACGTGTTTTAAAAATAAATAAATAAAGCATAATAAAACAGAACTCGCCCCGCCCTCCCAAAACAAAGTCCCAAACTCAAAATAATCACACTGGAATGTGAACCACAAACAAAAAAACTCCCTATCTCATTTTCTGAGGATGGGCAAGAAGGAACTCAACCAAGATGGAGCAGAACCATAAATAAATAGGACTTACCAGTTGTCTCTGTTTGGGGGGGAGAGCCGGTGGGGGGGGCAGATCCTGGCCAGAGTCTGCGCTGCTGAAGGAGTCGTTGAAGCCATAGACCTCCATGAGATGCTTGTTCTTCTGCTGGTAGATGTGTTCGTTCTGCGGGGTTTGGTAGAACATGGAAGGCTGAGGTTCGGAGTAGTCTTCTACAAACTGCATGTAGGCCAACACTGGAAGAGACAATGGACATGTGGAGGTCACCTTCTTGGTGGGATGCTCGGAGGAACCATCTCTCGCTCTTCCTGTCTCCTGTTAGGCTGGATGGATTCAGAGAGCCACAGGAGACCGATGTGAAATTAAGAAGAAAACCTTGAAGGTTGAAGCCTATTTCAAACTGGAAAACTGTGGAGATCTTCTAGTCCAGGGGTTCTCAACCTTCTCTTCACCTCGGACCCCTCCTTTTAAATACCTTTTGGGGCTATGGACCAGGGCTATGGATCCCCAAGACTCCGTAACATTTCTTCAAGCCTTCATGGACCCTCTATATGATGACATCACACCCCCCCCCCAAGGGGCCTGTGGACCACAGATTGAGAACTACTGTCCTAGACCAAGTCACGTCCAAAATCACTATGGAGTTCCTGGAAGCTTAACACTCAGGCAAACCAGCCTTCAACAGGCACAGACAGAGATAAACAACTTCTAGACACCCTTCAAAAGAGACAATCAAAAAGCCAAAAAGGAAACAAAAAGATCAAAGTGTCTTATCAGCAAATCAACATCCAAATGAGCAGAGATGAACACCAAGGTTAACGTTAGGCCAACAATCAAGAAGTAAACCATATGCCAATCAAGGAACTACCAACTCAGATAAAGAAGCTAACAATAAACAGCCTAATCAAGGAACAACAAAAGATCACTCCCACCAACACTGTTTATATACAACAGACAGCAAATCTCACTCCCTTCTAGTCCTGATGATGTTACCTAGTTGGGTCATGAAACGTCTTCCAGAAAACAACCAGATTCAGAGAGCACCACTACTCTGAGCTTCCATTGGTAGAGAGTGGTTGGGGTCTTCTTCTGCCTGAAGCCCAAATCAAACCAAGAGCCAAAGTAAATAATAATAATAAACGCAAATCAAACACAACTAACCCAATGTAAATATCTCTCAATTGCTCAACTCTTAACCCAGAGGACAAAATTCTCGTCCGGACTTCTAAAAAGAGATGCACACATTTTCCTGTTCCCCCTTTTTTTTTTTTTGGTGTGATTATCCACAAAGTGCTGAGCAAGCATCTAAACAAACCAGGATGAAGTGAGAGTCGCCATGTGATTAAACCAGCAGCTAGGCAGGAAGGGGAGAAGCGAATTTGGGAACCGAAAATGTGCAGAAAGTGATGTTAAACCAACATTTTGTTTTTGTTTCTTTAAATGTCCTTAGTAATCATACAATCATGTTTCTTGAGAGGGAAATTCTTTAAAAGCCAACCACTGGTTTTACGCCTGTCAGCATTTAGATACTCACTCAGATCTTGGTGAATCATACATTAGTTTAATTTTGCAGGGGTAGGGGAAGTTCCCCTGTTGTGGTTTGGAGACATGCAACAGGCAGGAAGTTTGGGGCTTTGAAAAACCTGCTGTCCGATGGTGGAAAGTAGAAGAGAGACTCAGCGTGGCGAGTTATCTAAGTTTAGTACCGACTGGAAACTCCTTGTAGCTTTTTTCATACCAAACAAAAAATAAAAATGAAATTTTGAGGAAAAACAATAGCCGGTAGAAAAAAGTAAGTCATGCTGCAACCGTGGAGTAAGAATTTAATTTATAGCTGTACCTATGACTGCTATAAGCTGCTTATTTAATAAGCCAGAGATGCTTGGGTGGTGAAATGGGAAAGAAAGAAAGAAAGAAAGAAAGAAAGAAAGAAAGAAAGAAAGAAAGAAAGAAAGAAAGAAAGAAAGAAAGAAAGAGAAAGAAAGAAAGAGAAAGAAAGAAAGAAAGAAAGAAAGAAAGAAAGAAAGAAAGAAAGAAAGAAAGACATTTTGCAGGGCTGAGAAAGTTCTCCTGTTGTGATTTTTAAAAGAAAAAAAATAAAGAAAAAAACAGAAGGAAGGAAGAAAGGAAGAAGGAAGAAAGGAAGAAAGAAAGAAAAAGAAGAAAAGACAGAAGGAAGAAAAGGGAGAAAAGAAGGAAAAAGGGAAGGAAAGGAAAAGAAGGAGGGATGGAAGGAAGAAAAAAGAAGGAAAGGAAGGAAAGGAAAGAAAGAAAAGAGAAAGGAAGAAAATCAGAAGGTATTTCTTTATATTTTCTTCTTTTCCTATACTTTGTCTTTTCTCTTTTCTTCTCTTTTCTTTACCCTAGCTATTACTTCCTCCGAGCTGTTAATCTTTCTTTCTGAACCTTTTAAATAAAATTACGTTTTAAAGAAAAAAGATCAAGGGAGTACTTACTGTGTTTGTTCTTCTTCTCCGGCAGCGGTGGGGGTTCTTCGGATTCTCTGGGCACGTTGGGACTGGAGAAATCAGGCAGGAATTCAACAGGGGGCGCGGTCTTCCCAGGCTGATAGGGCAGAACAGCCGCAAAAGGGGTGAAGACCCAGGGCAACAGCGGCGGGACGCTTAAGTCCTCCTCGGAAATGTTGTCGTACTGCGAAGGGTGCCTCTCCAGGAGGACCCGACAACCGGAGACGTCAAAAGCAGAAGCCGCCGTTCCTCTCCTTTTCTTCTCTGGAAGAGCTGGCGGGATCTCACGCAGATCCGGCGCAGCAGTTGAGGAGATACAATTCTCCGGAAGCTGGAAAGATTGTCCGAGGAATGGAGAGGCAGATTCCCGCAGGCCTTCCGGCAAAGGGCTGAGCACGCCGAGTCCCGGCTGGGGGATCTGGTCCGTGTTTGAGAGATCCTGCTGCAAGAACTCGTAATCAGGATCATAATGATCTACAGGAAAGAGAGAGAGAGGAAAAAATGATATGAAGAACAGAACCACAGAGCTGGAAACCCTGGACTTTATTTGGTGTGGAGGAAAGGGATTGACTAATGCAGAGGGGAGGGTCACGTTTACTTCCGGCGGTTTGGAAACCGTATTTGTGTAGAGTTTGGGCGGCGTAGCTTGCATGAAGGAGCGGAAGAACCTAGAGGTGGAGTCAAAAAGAGGAATCAGCCTAGAATCCTTTTGTAGTCACAAGTGAACTAACTTCCCTTGAATTCTGTGGATCCTCATCTAACTCTAACCAGGTGCTGTGATTCTTGGGCACAAACTGTTTGGCAATCAATCAGCTTAACCGAACCTTCACACGTGGACCCGGTCTTTCAGAGCCCGCTGGCAGAGACACCTCATCTCCTCACCTAACGTTTCACAGCTTGTGTTGTGCGAGCACTGCCCACTGTCGCAGTCCAACGAGGACAGTTGCTCATCCGATTTGCTCAATTTCCCCATGCTGCTGTACGGCGAGAGGCGAGGAGATTCCCCTCCGTAGGACTGGCTGCCCCCCGACAACCTCCGCTGGGGGTAGCCATCGTTTTCAAATTCCTGCGGGTCAGAAGGAGAAGAGATACAGGTAAAGTCCACCTCTTTTACACAACCGATCTTGGAATGAAACAGGGTGGATATTCTGACGACACGCTTCGTTCTTCTCTTTAGGAACGGGGCAACAAAGAGGTACATTTTAAATGTCTGAATCCAGAAAGGAACTTGTGATTTTTGGAATTACAGGCAGTTGGAGGTGACCTTCAATTTGTACGTATCTCCAAGTTTGGCCCCTGGATTCTGTACAGGTAGTCCTTGACTTACGATGACAATTGAGCTCAAAATTTCTGTTGCTAAGCAAGACAGTTGATAAGTGAGTTTTGCCCCATTTCACCAGAGTTGTTAAGTCAAACACCAAAGTTAAGTTAGACACACAGGTGGGAAGTCCCTCTGGCTTCCCCATTTACTTGCCAGAAGAGGGTCATGTGACACTGCAATCGTCATAAATACGAGTCAGTTGACAAGCCTCTGAATTTTGATGACGTGGCCACGGGGAGGCTGCAACGGTCGTAAGCCTGGAAAAATAGTCCCTTTCTGCAACTTCGAACAGTCACTAAACGAACTGCAAGTCAAGGATTGCCTGTACTAAGGAGAGGGATCTGAAATGGACACACCATCCTATCCCGATAGCTCCTGGGTGGATACGGCTGGTAATTTACCTGTTTGTTGATTCCAATGGGCAAACTGGAGCCACTGGTCGTTCGGCTCATGGGGGCCACGATAGCCACGCGTGTAGGAGATGGTGCCGACTGACGCTTCTTGGGAGGCAAGGCTGGCGGAAGGCTGCAATAAGGCGAAGAAAAACTTGAAACAGAGACAGAACGGTGCTGGGGAATCAGTTACAATGACATGTACGCTGTCGACTTACAATCACATTTTCGTCGCTAATCAAGGCAGGTTGTTAAGCGAGTTTGCCCTCCAATTTACGACCTTTCTTACCACAGGGGTTAAGAGAATCCCTGCAGTTGTAAAGTTAGTAACACGGTCGTTAAGCGGATCCGGCTTCCCGATTGGCTGTGGTTGTCAAGAGGTCGCCAAAGGGGAATCACGTGGCCCCAGGACAAGGCAACCACCCTAAGTACATGCCAATTGCCAAGCCTCCCAATTTTGTTCACGTGATCGTGGAGAGGCGGCTGCAGCGGCCGTAAGTGTGAAAAATGGGCGTAAGTCGCTTTTTTCCAGTGGCGGTGCAACTTCGTCACTAAACGAACAGTTGTAAGTTGAGGACTGCGTAAGGGCAGTGTTTGACCTCTTAGAGGTGCCTTTACCTGTTTTCGGGGACCCGGATGCAAGGACGGGGGGGCTTCGGTGGGGCGATCTCCTCATCTGGGGCATCTGGCAACCCTTCTGTGCTCGGCGTCATCCCGGCCGTCTTGCTGAGAATCTCCATCTCACGATCCGTTAAGGGAAGCTCCAGCTGGCTGGAGAGGGGAGAACCGTGGGTCACAAACACCGAGGAGGCTGCATCATCACAGCTGAAGCATTGCAGGGGGGAAGAGAGAGAGAGAGAGAGAGAGAGAGAGAGAGAGAGAGAGAGAGAGAGAGAGAGAGAGAGAGAAAAGAATGGATAGATAGTTGGTGACAGCTAGATGACATGGATGGATGTAGAAATAGAAGAGAGCGCACACACTTAGAAGACATGGATACATGGTTAGATGATGGATGGATGGATGGAGAGAGAGAGAGACAAAAGAGAGAGAGAGAGCGCACACTAGAAGGCATGGATGGAAGGATGGAGAGACAGAAGAGAGAGCATGCAACAGAGGACATGATATATGGAAGGATGGATGGAGAGGAAATACAGATGGATAGATAGATGATGGATGGGTGGATGGGTGGGTGGAGAGATAGAAGAGAAAGAGAGAGCTAGAAGACATGGATAGATAAATAAATAAAGATGGGTGGATGGATGGACGGATGGATAGACAGAAGACATGAATACATGGATGGATAACTGGATAATAATTAGATGGATGGATAATAGATTAAGTAGACAAGATAGGCAGGAATACAGACAGACATAGACAGAGAGATGATATAAATGGAGAGATAGAGGATGTGAAACCAGCCACGAGGAAGTTATATTACTGGAGCTCCAAGCCGTATGTGGTTCTCCAGGATCACAGCATCCCCAACTCTTGGAAAGAAATCCCTCTAAACTTTTTGTCCAGTGGGAAGAGATTCCTTTTCTTTCTGCATCACTTCCATTTGAGCTGTCAATCACACAGGGGCCGCAAGAGTTAACCCATCTTAACCTTCATCGGAAATGGTTACTCACCTGTCTGCTGTAGACACAGGTAAGGTGGGCTTGACTGGGCTGGTGGGAGATGGGTGTTCCTGCTTCTCAATTGTGAGTTTCACCAGCTCCTGATTAGCAACAGAACACAACAGAGACACACAAACAAAAAATTACGCATTTTTTGCATTCATCTTATTGCCCAAAAAACACCTTCATTTCTTCTCTCTCTCTCTCTCTCCTTCAAAACTCATTTATTTATTCCCTATTTAAACAAGGGCCCACCCCAAAATCAGCTAAGGGAAAATTTAGGAAAGGCACGCCACCTCCTACTGGTTTAGTGACTACAATCAGGCGCAACAATAGGCTGCAATCCCTGAGCATCCTGGCATGATGGAACCTTGATGGTGACCTTCAAATCACAGCTTCTGTGCTGTGGACTAGCTAGAATTGCAAACGTGGTTTCTTCTCATCTTGCCATTCCTGGCTTGCAACATCACCAGTGCTAGAAGGAAGTGGGGTTTGTGGAGTGGTGGTGGAGGTGGAAGAGGAGGAGGAAGAGGAGGAGGAGGATGTGGGGTCCTGGATGCTCTCTGAGCTTGGTGGTTTTCTTGCAGACGTTTCAATACCCAACTAGGTAACATCATCAGTGCTAGTCCCTGAAACCAAACTGTCTGCCTGTACATTAGGCTTCCTCACACCCTACCATCGATCAACTCCCACCATCAATAAGAAGTTCAACACAAACATTAATGCACCTCCCAGCTCATAGGATGGGCCAGTCTAACGGAGAAGGTTTCATTCCAAAAGTCGCCTCCATAGCAGTAAGACAATAGACAGTTGTGCGTAAATCACTAATCGGGGTGATTGGTGGCTTTCATGACATCCCAATCTCATTCTTGCCAGGATGAGTTTTGAGAAATTAGCACCTCCTTCACTTTGGAGCAGGGAAGCTGGTGGCTTTGAACCACCACCACCACCATCCTTTCTCATGTTGGACAGAATTGATGGAAGCTGCTCCAGTGTTCTTGGAAAGCAGTGGATTAGAATCAAGATTCATAGGGCTGGAGATCATCTTAGTCCAGCCGCCTGCTCAAGCAGGAGACCTCATACCATTTCAGACAAATGGTTGTCCAGTCTCTTCTTAAAAACGTCCAGTGTTGGAGAACCCACAACTTCTCGAGGCAAGCCATTCCACTGATTGATTGTTCTCACCGTCAGGAAATGACTCCTTAGTTCCAGGTTGCTTCTCTCCTTGATGAGTTTCCATCCGTTGCTTCTTGTCCTAGCTTCAGGGACTTTGGAGAAGAAGTCAGTCCTCCCCCCTTTCTCTGTGACAGCCCCTCAAGTATTGGAAGATGCTATCATGTCACCCCCTACTCCTTCTCTTCGTTAGGCTAGAGACACCTAGTTCCCTCAACATTCTTCATACAATTTAGCCTTCAAACCCTTCATTACTTTTGTCACTCTTCTCGGCCTGCTGGAGGACTAACAATACAAGGGGTTCAGGGAACACCCCGAGCAAAGCCCATACCTTAACTCCATCCAGAACTGCCTTGATAACCCCCCTGACTGTGTTCACCACCTCTTTGTCTTCAGAGTTGATGCCTTCAAGCATCACCTGATCAGACCACCGAATCAAATTTCCCAAGCTCTGATACACTCGGCTGTAACAGGAAGTGATGGCAGAACTGCGGAAGTGAAAGAAGAAGAAGAAGTTAGACGTAAGAAGTGGTGGAGAGACTTGGCTTAAGTTATTAAGGGTCAGAAATTAGCCATGCATTGCTGCTAAATATTAATTCCTTTATACAGGTAGTTCCCTCTCTCTCTCTCTCCCCCCCCCTCTATCTCTCTATCTCTGTATCAACTCTCTCTTTTTCTCTATTATCTTGTTTTCTCTGTCTCTCGCTCCCTTTCTTATATCTCTCTCTATCATCTATCTATCTATCTTTATTTCTATCTCTGTATCAACTCTCTTTTTCTCTCTCTATTATTTTGTTCTCTCTCTCTCTCTTGCTCCCTCTTTCTTATCTCTCTCTCTCTATCTCTCTATATTTCTATTTCTCCCCCTCTCCTTCTGCATAACATTTAGTTTGTTCAAAGAAAGTTAAAATGCAAAACACCAACATATTTTTAACAAAAATGAAAACAAAAAGAAGAAAATAATGCAACAAAGATCCATTAAGGTGTCTTAGAAAAAAAAGACTAACACAGATACATCTAGCATCCTCCCTAGTTGAATGCTGATTGATGTAAAAGTTTCCCACCCTTGCAAAAAAAAAAAAAGGCCACAAAGAATTTTAAACTACTAAACTATTAAATTTGTTTATAAATTGTTCACCGGTCATCTATATATTGTATTCATAACAAAATGGGGGAAAACAACAACAATAAAAATACGATATAAAAGTTGAAAGTAGTAAAATAATAATAAAAGAAAGACCAGATTTAAATTCCCACACCCTCTGTTAACAAAGTGCTGTTGTAAATCCAACTCTTAGAAGATTTACCGCAGCTTCAATCCCAGATTATCCCCAAAAGTAACTCTAATTGGTCCCAGATCAACTATCCATGCATTTGTATACCTGCATTTGTAACACCTTCTAATTTTAATGGGTGTCAACTGTCTGAATTTATACACTGGCATGCAAGGCAAGGCGGCAACAGCAGAGGGCAGCATTCAGCTGATCTCAGGAAGTAGGGTCAATCCCTGGATGGGAGACCATCAGGAAATTTTGGGGTTGGACTAGGAAGTTGAAAAAATACCTCCAAAGAAGGTAACAATGAACTACTTCCATATTTCTGACAGAAAACTACATGGAGGAGATGACGCCCCAACCTTGGCTGATCTTTAGCTAAGCAGGATTGGGCCTGGCTAGTCCTTGGGTGAGTAGCTACAAGGAAACCTAAGAGTGATGAGCTAGCTCAGGGGTCTTCAAACTTGGCCCTTTGATGACTTGTGGACTTCAACTCCCAGAATTCTTCAGCCAGTGTGCCTACTTACACAATGAGCAACCTATACAATGAGCACCCCAATCTCTGTTGCAGACTTTGGGGGGGAAAGGACTACCCACTTAGTACCAAACTCTCAATCCAACTACTCAACACGTCGCGTCACAACTCACCTCTGCTGAATCCGTGGGTCCGTCTGAACCAGAGGCAAGATGGCTTCCAGAACTTTGCTGGCAGATCCTGGCAACATCTCCAGCACCTTGTTATCAATTGCCATTTTGTCCACGATGGTCTTAAAGTAACGCAGGGCGCTCACTACATCCTTCTCTTTCTCTTCCAGCCAACTCAAGTTCTGAGACAGAAAGAGCATTTTTTACCCAGGTTCCTATCGAATGGTACGAATATGCAAATCATTTTCCCTGCATCCATTCATTCTGTTTATCCATCCATCTACCTACCCAATCGTTCTGTTTATCTATTCATCCACCGAGTCATTATATCTGTCAATCCATCCATCCATCCTATCACTGATCCATCTACCCATTCATTTTATGTATCTATTGATCCATCCATCCATCCAATCATTAATCCATCTACCCATTCATTTTATATCTAGTCATCTATTTATCTATCCACCCATCCATCATATCATTGGTCCATCTACACATTCATTTTATATATATCCATCCATCCATCTACCCATCCATCCACCCACCCACTCATCCATCATTGATCCATCTATCCATTCATTTTATATATCCATCCATCCATCCACCTACCCATCCATCCATCCATTCTATCTATTCATTTTGAAGTCAAATTGTTCTAAATCCAAAGTGTTCCATTCTGAACCCATAAAATATAATTCTCAACAGGTTTTGAGATTCCTGAAACCCAGCAGCTCTGGGCTCACCGTACCCCCAAATTTTCTGTTTCAGATGTAAAGCTACTTCTAGAAACTCTTTCTGGATAGAGAGGACTGCTGGTTTGAAAGAGAGGTCAAAGAGGTCCACCTACAATCAGATTAAACAGCCCTCTCTCAACGGGGAGGGGGGGGAATACGACACCAACTATCTCCCGTTTACAACACAAGTCTTTCCAGCAGTTCCAAGAAGGCTCCACACCCATTTGCGCTATTCAGGTGCCCCCGAGGGCACAGATAAACCTCTAGGTGGCCTCAATGGCTCTCAGAGAGAGTACTAATGACCAGGTGACTGCAAGGGATATAAATCCTTCCATCCTCCACCATTCAGCCAGTCCTGAAGAAGCTTCCTGGATATGAGCTTGCATTCAACATCCGCTACTAAGGTGTAAGCCCCAAAGGTGCTTTTTTTTTTTTTTCAGGAGGCAACTGGGCGTTCTTTGTTTTTCTTGGAAGACCTTTTGCTACTCACCCGAGAAGCTTCTTCAGTTCTGACTTTATGGTGGAAAATGGAAGGATGTGTATTCCTTGTAGTTCGTCTGGACGTTAGTACTCTTTCTGAGAATCGCTGAGGGCTCAGATAAACCTGTGTAATTCCAGACTCAACAATGGTCGTTAAGTGGAGGCTTACCTGTCCTTAACCAGGCACGCCTCAATCAACCCGCCAGTTTACCTTGTTCACAACCTTCTCGGGGGATTTCACCACTAGGTCAGGCTGCTTTCCTTTCTTAGAGGGTGTCCTTTTTATTTTGGGGGAGTGGAACTTGTCCTTCAGCTTCATGGTGAATGAAGAGAGATGAGAGCGCTGAGAGTCTATCAAAAAAACAGAGAAGAGAAACACGGTCAATAAATGGGAACAGATGCCATGCTTGAACCAGACTATAGGCCAGGATGTGCCTGACATCTGGGAGCTCCGAGCTTAAGTGGGTGGCTTCACAACAGGCACAGCCCTGTTCTTTGCACTACAAACTCCACCGGATGCCAAAATGTACCTACCGCAACTCTTTAAAACGGCCATTGCCTTTCCTGTAATCACAAATTCAGTATCTGTTTGCAACTCTTTAAAGCAGCTGCGTCTTTTCCAGGTCTGAAACACAATTCCTGTCTACCGTGCTTAAAGCGGTCCCATCTTGTTTCCCAGGCTTGTGAATGTAGCACTGATTTGCCACGTTTCACACAGCCACCTCTTTCCCCAAATTTACATGGAGGTCAATGGGTGCACAATTCTAGGGGGGGAGGAAAAAAAACAAAAACAAGCTGCTTTAAGGGCTGTAAACCTTTCTTACATTTGTTCCCCTGCACGCTGAAAAATACCTATTTGGAATTCAGTCTTCTCCTGCCTTCAGATGCTTTGGGGGGTCGGGGGAAAATAATAGTAACAGAGTTGGAAGGGATCTTGCGAGGGGGGTCATCTAGTCCAACCCCCTGCTCAAGCAGAAGACCTATATCATTCCGGGCAAATGGCTGTCCTGTCTCTTCTTGGAAACCTCCAGTGATGGAACACCCACAACTTCTGGAAGCCAGCTGTTAAGCCGATAAATTGTTCTAACTCAGCCCCTCCTCTCTGTGGTAGCCCCTCAAATATTGGAAGATGCAATCTGATCTCCCCGAGTTGTTCTCTTCAGCAATTCTGCTTTCCAGAAGTGAGTTTCCAACACACACACACATGCGTGTTTGCGGCAGGCACGGATGGAAACCTTGCTAGTTGCCTGTCTGTTTGGCTAAAGGCTGCATGCCTTGCCCAGCTGCCTTTAAACAATCTCCAGCTGTTAAGTCATGGTCTTCCCTGTGATCTAAAGTTTGTTTTGCCCTGGGCCAACTGATGAAAGGGTGTGTGTGTGTGGGGGGGGGAAATATCAGCTGGCGATTTCCAGAGAAGAGGACTAGGGAGGGGGGAAGTGAAGGGAGAAAGAGAGGAGAGGAGGATTCAAAGCAGTTTGCCTCTGACCCGCCATTATCCATCATTCCTGGCTAACAGTTTGACGTCTGGTTGGGTCCAAGTCTCTGGAGTCCTTCCAGGAAGTAAGTTATGCCAAAACATTACGCCTGTTGGAGGGAGGCTGCTGGGAAATCACTGGATGAATTAACAGCACAAGGGAAAGAGAGGAAGGGAGGGAGAGAGGGAGGGAAAGGAGAAAAGGAAAGAGGGAGAGAGAAGGATCAGAGGAGGAAGGAAGGAAGGAAGGAAGGAAGGGAGGGAGGAAGGAAGGAAGGAAGGAAGGAAGGAAGGAAGGAAGGAAGGAAAAAGAAAAAAAGAAAGAAGGGGAGGCAAAGAAGGAAGGGTGGAGAGATTTCCATGCTGAGCCATGCTGGCTCAGGAATTTTGGGAGTTGAAGTCCACAAGTCATAAAAGAGCCAAGGTTGCCTACCCCTGGTCTAGCCTATTGACGAGAAGGATTGGGGGGGGGGAACTTGTGATAATTGTCTTCCAGGACTTGAGAGGCTGTCACAAAGAAGAGGGGGGTCAACTTCTATTCCAAAGCGCCGGAAGGCCAGACAAGAAGCAACGGATGGAAACTAATCAAGGAGAGAAGCAATCTAGAACCACGGAGACATTTTCTGTCGGTGAGAAGAACTGATCAATGGAATGACTTGCCTTCTGGAGTTGTGGGTGCTCCGTCGCTGGAGCTTTTCAAAAATAAGACCAGACCTCCATCTGACTAGGGTGGTATAAGGCTCCGGCTTTGAGCGGGTCCCCTTGCCGCCCTAGGATCTCTGGAAACGAGTTCCAGATGGCTCAAGAGATGGAAAAGTAGTCAAAGCAAAGCAATCGAAACCAGGAATGCTTCGCCTGGAGTCATGAAGGTGGACCGGAGATGTGATCACGGTTTCAACATCTGAAGGGCCATCAGCAGCTCGGGAGAGAAAACCAGACTGAGCGAAAACATCAGGCTTTTAAAACCGAACGCGTCCCAAGCGTGTCGTCTGGGGAAGTCTGACTGAGGAGGCAAAGGTAACCACAGAAGATGATGCAGGCACTCAAGAATGAAGCGCCTCCAGGGTTTTGGAGGACAAGAACCAGCTTGGAGAGGAGACACACCCTCCAGGAAACAAGAAAAGGGACGCCTGGAGCTGATCCTGGCTTAGAATCAACCGGAGATGGAGGTAAAAAGAAGAGAAGGATCTGGGCTCCACTGCTTTTTAAAGTTGCATCACATTCTCCACTTTTGGACTTCTTTCTCTTGGGAAACAAGCCTTGGGATTTCTATAATGAAACCCCCCCCCTGTTGCCAGGGGCTATTTACCTGTCGTCTGGGCAACAGGGTGATGTCATCGGTCCCTTTCACTGAAAAAAAAAAACACACCACGGTGGGGAGGGGGAGAAGAGTGGTTTCTTCGGAGAAGAGCAATCAACCTCCTTCCCAAGTGGTCCAGAAGATTCTCTGGGGATATCATGAATATTGCTAGGTTTAAGGAAGCCTCAGGCCAAGTATCCCAAAGATGCTTTTTCAGGAGGCAACTGGGACTTCCTTGTTTTTCTTTGAAGACGTTTCGCTTCTCATCCCAGAAGCTTCTTCAGCTCTGACTGGAGGGTGGGGAATGGAAAGATTTAGACTCCTTGCAAACTGTTGGTCATTTGCCTTCTTAGAGGGTCGCTGAGGCTACCTGGAGGCTTATCTGTGTCGTCAGGGTTCCCTGAGAAGTGCAAATGGGTGTGGAGCCTTCTTGCAACTGCTGAAAGGACAGTGTTGTAGACTGGAGAGAGATGATGTGGTGTGCCTCTCCCTCTGTTGTAGCTGTTCAATTTTGAACGGGCGAAAAACGGTCATTAAGTTCCTTCCTTCAGTATTGTTGTAACTCTGAACGGTCGCTAAACAAATTATTGTAAGTTGAGGACCACCTGTACTATAATTTGGAGGTCCATTTCAGCGCCCGTTTCTGAGCGGCCAAAGGCTGCCGCTCAAGTGACTTGTTCAGGAACCAGATGGAAAGGGATTCCACCCAGTCCTACTAAATCCTACGTTTTCAGAGACTGACCTGGTTGTGGGGTCCTTGGTGCTCTCTGAGCTGGGTGGTTTTCTTGCAGACGTTTCATGACCCAGCTAGGCAACATCATCCGTGTTAGAAGGCAGTAGGATTTGTGGAGAGGAGGAGGAGGAAAAAACAGGAGGAGAAGGAGGGGGATTGTGGATCTTTGGTGCTCTCTGAGTTGGGTGGTTTTCTTGCAGACATTTCATGACCCAGCTAGGCAACATCATCAGTGCTAGAAAAGAGTGGAGTTTGCTGTCTGTTTCTATATAAGTGGCGTTCCCTGTCAGGGTTGATGATGCCTTGATTAGGCTGTTGTTTACTGTTTGTCTGGGCTGGTAGTTCCTTGACTGGAGAATTGTTTACTTCTGGATTGTTGGTTAAGTGTTAATCTTGGGGTCAATCTCTGCTTATCTGGGTGACCTGGTTAGTGGCATGCAGAGGGAACAATGGCCGGAAGGGCAAGGCAGTATAGACTGGAGTTGTAAAGAGACAAGGGGTGTTAGTGTGCCAATCATGTTAGGATGAGTATGATGTCATCCAGTCTTCCAGTACTTGAGAGACTGTCAGAGAGGAGAGGGGATTGACTTATTCCCCAAAGCAGGTGAGGGCAAGACAAAAAGCAATGGGTAAAAGATCATTAAAGAGAGAAGCAACCTAGAATTAAGGAGAAATTTCCTGACAGGGAGAACAATTAATCTGTGGAACGGAAGTTGCCACCAGAGGTTGTGGATGCTCCATCACTGCAGGTCTTCCAAATAGACTGGACAACCATTTGACCAGGATAGTATAAGGTCTCCTGTCTTGAGGGCTGGTCCTTTCGGATTCTATGATTCATCACGGCTTCCATTAGACACCAAGGGCTCTTTTGCTACTAATGAATCATGGCCGACAAAAATGAACAATGAAAATGTGAATGAAAGTTCAAATTAAGAGCAACTTCCGCATGACTCTTTGTACAAACCCCTGGCCATGATTGGGAGGCTTTCTTGGCACTCTGGTAAGCTAGAACAAGTCAGCCATGGTTAAGACTGAGTTTAGCTCTCCCTATGAATGCAATCTATGATTTATTGCTCTGTTACCATCTCTCTCCACTGAGTGTGGTTCAACTGTTAAATCACTCCTGATGGAACACAACATAATTCACCATCTAAGGAGGTTGTCTGTTGTCTCTGCTCTGGATGTGTCTCCTTCCCATTTTTGGAAGGCATGCTTGGAAACATTGGGAGAAGGAGGAGGAGGAGGAGGAGGAGCTTAGTAACTCTTCCTGTTCTACAGTTTGTAAGTTGACTTCTCTGGTAGCCCAAGAGTGAATCCCTCAAATAAGAAAACCAGGAGAAGTCTTCCCCATTAATACACAATTAACAATAAGCACGCTTCTGGTGAAGGAGCAAAGAAGAGAAGAACACAAGGAAATACAATAACTGTCTTCAATCATCTAAAAGGTTGTCCTGGAAAAGACAGGGCAGAATTGTCCAGTGTCACTGCAGAAGATAGAAGAAAGGAGGAGCTTCAAATACAAGGAGCTCCATTTTGGTGGAACATCTGGAGAAGTTTCTTAATGATAAGATGCTGTTCAGCAACGAAGCAGACGGTACTAGAAGATGGTGGACTCTCCTTTGCTAGAAGCACTTCCACTGAAGTTGAGTGGCATCTGTCAAGGATGCTGTTAACAGACAGTTCCCGAATCTGCCAAGGATATCGACCAGACCAGGGGTAGGGAACCTTGGCTCTTTTATGACTTGTGGACTTCAACTCCCAGAATTCCTGAGTCGGCAGGGATGGTTCAGGAATTCTGGGTATCGAAGTCCACAAGTTATAAAAGAGCCAAGGTTCCCTACCCC